GCATCAACCTTTAACTCTTTTAAGCTCGCTTGTCTCTCAGCCATCGCTTTAATCCAAAAATCGTGAATACATCCATCAATACCTGAAAGAAATCAATTTTAGCTGGCCAGTTTTTATTAAAAAATATATATATGAAACAAAATCTGGATTTAGCCACACTCCTGTAAGTTCATGAAAGGATTTCGGCGGAACCGTAGTCCATCGCCACTTAAGAACCGTAGTCTAGTGGTTTGCTTCAATCCCAGTTGCAACAGGGTGGAACCGTAGTCCATACATGGGCAGGAACCGTAGTCCCCCATGCTCCCTGCCACAACCGTCATATAACTCGCAAAAGCGTGGCCTCACCTTAAATTGATTCAACATCCTTTCTGCAGATTTCTTTTCTTTTTCTGAGCCCTCATTTTTGAACCAGTCAAGCTGTTTATAAAGTGCCGTTGTAAGCTTCCCCTTGTTCATTGGGTATTTATAAACACGCGATTCCTCATGATACTCAAGAGCGTCCCAAGCTTCGCAGGGTGTTGTTATGAAGTAGGAAAAACCTAGTTTCTCTTCAAATTGTCTCGACATTATTTGAGGAAATTTTTTTTAATTTTTTGTCATACCCATAAAAAAATAGTTATCCATTCGATCATTATTTGTTCTGTACAACGTTAATCCGAGGTAATTTTTAAGTCGCATTTGTACTATGATGAAACTTCGGGTTCTCAAATGCGTGTTAATAGCTTTTTCCCGATGATAAAAGCTATTAAAATAACGGCGAGAATTGTAAAAACTCATCTTTTTTAGAATAATAATCCAAAAGAGGAGTTAAACAGCAAAGAAAGAGCGTTCTTTGTAAAGCATTTTAAAAAACATACTAAAGTAGTCCAAGTGACTCTTTTTCCTTCCTTATTTTAAACAACTACCCCAAATCTAATTTTTATTTATACTATTTTATTTTTTTTTAAAAAAAAGAGGCAAATTAAATATCAAAGTTATATACAAAATATGGCCGAATATAATATAACATTCCTCATCCTCATCCAACTTCTTACCTCTAAACCTCTTGCTTCACTAACAATTCTCTCACTTGTAATAATATCGCTAGCTTCTTATTATGCAGCCGACCCTTGGAAGAAACCAGAAGCTCGAGAAAAAGAACAAGAGTCGGGAAATGTAATACATATAACGGCAAACCATGCGATTGGTTTTGGTGGAATAGCTAGTTTAGGTCTTATAAGTATGTGGACATTCCCTAATGCACTTGGTAAGATTTAGAATTACACGGTCTTCATGTTGGCATATTTGTTATATTCCTAACTAATTAATTTATATTTATTTAGTCTATTTCAGTCTTGTATCATTTGGACTTGGTGGTTTTTTTGGATTACAGGGTGTTCTTGTAGCAATATCTAGAAGACTCTCCTTGCCATTTTCAGGTGGCTTATTGGAGACCCTGCTGGCAGGTGGAATAGTGATTTGGTGGGTGCTTATAAGAAATAGCAGGTATGAAGAAGTTTCTTGAAGAGCAATTCCTTTATTCTTTTACGTTGGACTCGTTATTAACGTACTTAAATTCTTCTAGCGAAGCATGGTTATTACAGAATTTTTTAGGAGGTATGTCGATTTTACGATTATATTCAATGCTTATGAAATTCACAATATTGATTTCTTTATCGATTGAATAGGTTTCATAATAGCTTTAATGTTAAAAGTTCTTAAATTACCGGACTTACAGGTAGATTGGATATATATTTTAATAATGAGTAATATTCTTTTATTGACAATTTTTTTTTTTTTATTAAAAAAAAAAAACTTTTTTTAGATATCATCTATCCTACTTATTACTGCCTTTTTATATGATATATTTTGGGTTTTCATTTCACCAAATTTCACATCAAATGGCAAGTCAGTCATGGAATCCGCAGCTACAGGTTCTGGACTAACAGTGCATGAACAAGTGCCAATGGTATTTAGAATTCCGATTAGCGATGATCCTGCGCATGGATATGCTATGTTAGGATTTGGAGATATTATTTTACCTGGAATGTTTTTGACTTTATTGAGAGAGGTTGATGT